GCCCTGCAGCCCCCCGCAACTTCCCGCCGTGGTCCCCACGCGCACGCTGGAGCAGCGGACCTTCCTTGCGGTCCTTCGCCCGTCCATCCCAAGGGTGACCTCCTCACGGAAACTCAGTCCTCCGCGCGTGTATTCCCACCTACTTTTGTCCAGAAAGAAGCCAGGGCCCGAAGCCGGTGTTGTCCTTGTTAAGGCAGTTCCCGGACTCTGCTCTAAATCTCGAGTTATAGTCATGTTAACGAAAGACACAGAACGGATCGAAAGAAAGGCTGGCCGAAGGGCCAGCACCGCCGAGAGGATCCGGTGTCTCGCGGGTCAAGGGAGTCTCCCAGCGGCCTCCTGCAGGGAGCGATGTGCCAAGTACTCAGCACATAGTGACAGGATTTCATTTCGGTCCCAGCCACATGGTTCAGCTTCTCCTAAACCCAGATCGTACGTGCGTGGATACGAAAAAAATAAAAAAGCTCAACTTTCTGTGATCTGCAGGATCAAGGAAAATCCAGACTCACTGGCTTGCCAATAGCAAAGTTTCCATATTTCACAGGTTCATAAATGGGAGCATTTTAGGAATCAAGGTTTTGTTTCTCCTAACAGGCTAAAAATCAAGACACATAAGCCAGATGTAGCAGTTTAGCATGGAGAACCAAGCCCACAATACAATAGGGTAAGTACTGCATTGTTTCTATTTAATAACTTAATTATGCTAAAACTCCCTGATAAACAGAATTTTGAAATCACGAATTTTGAAATGTGTTTCTATAGAATGTATCAGTTATTTTTGGTGGGAAGACTGGGGCAACATTTCAAATGATTTACTAATAATTGATTAATGTGACTCTGTGGGTCTAATCTTAAAGACCCACAGGGGGATCAACTTAGACCATCCTGGACCATTAACCTAACTATGCTTCCCCATAGCTGGGATTACAAGTATTACCACTGCCTGGCTTGTTCATCAAGAAAAGGGGTCTTTTTGCCTGGACTGACTTCAAACAGAAACTCTCTGTCTCTGCTTCCAAATACCTGAGGTTATAACCATGAGCCACCACATTTGCCTTAATTTTCTGGAGAAGTTTTTTTGTATCTTCAATGAACTGTTCAGAGTGCTATATAAATGTGTGAATCTATGTCATTTGTTGATATGAAGAAAAATGTATGTACATCAGATGCATTTAGTTCTTAATCAGTGTTACCAAAATACAGCAATCCCTGTGCTTCCCTGCCCAGTTTTCTACTCCCAAAGGCACTTAGAATTTTTTCAGTGGACCCTCTTCCTTTGATGTTTACAACTATGTGGCTAAATAACATGCTTTATTGCTACTCAGGATTTTTCAGTTTTAGGCAATATCTACTGGCTCTTACACTGGATATTTTTATGTCTACTACTACATGCCCTACCAAACATACACATTCATACACACACACACACACACACACAGATACAAAAACTGTGACTGAGTGTGTATACACAGAGATACATGTGTATTGGGAACACAGAATAACAAAAACTGTGACTGAGTGTGTATACACATGTATCTCTGTGTATACACATTCAGTCACAGTTTTTGTTATTCTGTGTTCCCAATACATTGTATATTTGGGAAGATCAGTATTCTGTTTGTCTCTGTCTGGCTTTATAAATCCTAGCCATCTGCAAGTCACATACTATTTTCCCCTTCCCTGTACAATGTGTACTTCCTGCCATAAATCACTGTGGTATCATATTACAGATTTCTGAAGCTTTCCTCTTCATCATTTTCTTCTTTTTTGCATGCCTTTCCATTTGCGTTTGTCTGACCTTCTCTGTTGTATGAACTACGTTCCTTGACTACTCAGTCCTGGTTGAGTGATGAGTAAAAAAAAAAAGAAAATCAGGGAAGGCTTCTCTGTGTGGTCATATGGGCTTTCCTCAAAAGACCCAATGCTAGTTTCAGGCAGGTGAGATCTCTCTTTTAATCTCCTTCCTACAGGGTAGAAGTTGGTGATTAGCAGTCTGGGAGCCAAAGAGGAAAGGGGCTGTAGAGATTTAGACTTACTCTTGACATACCAGTTTCCAGGTGCTTCTCAGCCTTCACTGTACCTGGTGATCCTAACCACATGAAGCCTTTCTTCTTTTACTGGCCCCCAGAGAATGTGTGTCCAGTGAAACATGAGTGAGAGCAAACACCTAGGAGTCACACCCTTGACATCCATTCCTCCTGACTTCAGGCTCCTGCTTTCCTCATACTGCCACAAGTACCTGAGTTTCACCACTGCCAACTCTCATGTTTGCCCTTTTAAGCTTAACTTTGTGAGTTAAAAAATATCCATTTGCTCTGTATTGTTTTGTTGAGACAATGTTTCACAATAGCCCAGTCTGGCTGCAAACTTGGAATCCTACTAGCTCAGTGAGAACCACTCCTGGTCCAATTCCCTTTTTATTAGTAGGATTTGAGGAAGGAGCAAAAAATGGATGTTCACCCATCTTTAACCAAGTCTCATTTTTTCAATTGAATCTTTCACTTTATTCTTTGTAGGTACTGGGGCTAGTAGGTACAGGGGCCTAGTACTCACCCAGCTTGCTTGCTCATAGCTGCTGCTCCACCAATTGAGCCATGTCCCCAGCCCAGCTTTTTGCTAGTTAACTGGAGGTAGAGTATCAGTGACTTTTCTGACTTCCAAACATGATTATCTTGACCTCTTAGCTCCTGATTAGCTAAGATTACCAGCATACCCCATTGATGTCCAGTTTTCTTTATCTATATCCTTTTACTTATATTTTAGCCTTTGATCTCTTCCATAGAATCTTCTTAAATTCTTCCAAAAAATCTAGCTACTGATACAAGGTCCTCCTAAATTTTCTAACATTCCATGGGAGTTACTGTATTTTCAAAGAACCAAAGCCAGTGAATATGAAAGCATACCTTATTGCATCTGAATTTCGAACATCCTTTAAAACTGCTTCTAAGTAAATCCTTCATAACCCTTAAAAGTATCCTTTTCCTGTAATCCTAGCTACTCAGGAGGCTGAGATCTGAGGATCGCAGTTCAAAGCCAGCCCGGGCAGGAAAGTTTGTGAGACTCTTATCTCCAATAACACCCTCCCCCCTTGCTAGAAAACCGGAAGTGGTGCTGTGGCTCAAGCAGTAGAGCGTTGAAGTGGTGCTGTGGCTCAAGCGGTAGAGCGTTGGCCTTGAGCTGAAGAGCACAAGGACAGCGCCCAAGCCCAGAGTTCAAGCCCCATGACCGACAAAAACAAATAAAAGTATCCTTTTCCTCCAGACTCATGTATTCAGAAACACAGCTTTAGTTACCAGATTTTTAATGAGCCATGGGGCTGGGAAGGTGGCTCAGTGGTAGAGCGCTTGCCTTGCATGCCTGAGGCCCTGGGTTCGATTCCTCAGCATCACATAAGCAAAAAGAAAAAAGCCAGAAGTGGCTCTGTGGCTCAAGTGGTAGAGCGCTAGTCTTGAGCTGAAGAGCTGAGGGACAGCACCCAGGCCGAGTTCAGGCCCCACGACCAGACCCCCCCCAAAAAAAAAGCAAAAACAGATTTTTAATGAGCCAATAGTCTTAACTACATTATGTAAAAATATTCAGCTTTTCCTAATATAAGCCTATGTACTGAGATTTTCATAAGATTTAATGATGTATTCTTTTGCACATTCAAATTCTTTTTAATTACTAGATTCTCTTGACTTCTGGATAGCTTTATACCATACCTCCCTGTTCTCTGTCCATTGAATTTGCCCTCCACCCCCTTGCACAAGCATACCCCTCCAAGTAATAAAAATTTAAATATTCTTTTATTTCTTGTTTCTTAGATGAAGCAAAAAGGGCAATATTCCAGAGGTAACAATCCTGTTGTGAGGTGTTGGTGGCTCATTTTTGTGGCCCTAGCTACACAGGAGACTGAGATCTGATGATCATGGTTCAAAGCCATATTGGGCAGAAAAATATGTGAGATTCTTATCCCCAGCTAACAAGCAAAAATCCAGAAATAGAGCTGTGGCTCAAATAGTAGAGCATTAGCCTTGAGCAAAAATGCTTAGGGACAGTACACAGGCTCTGATATCAAACCTCATGACCAACACACACACACACACACACACACACACAACACAAATAATCCTGTTTTAGCTTAATTTTGAAATATTAACACAGTATAGAATATAGAAAATTACTAATTTTGACAAATGGAAATCCAAGAGGAAGAAAGAGAGAAAGAAAGGAAATAAAAGAAAATTTCTTTGAGAAAATTAAGTTACTACTAAAAGTTTTTTAAAAAATACTAAAACATACCACTGTGAAGGATACATCTGAATGTACTTTTTACAAGACAATGTTTATAAATGGTTAATGAAATCAATTAATAATTACATTTAAATAACCAAAGGTTTGATCGGTGTAGACTTAGTCATGTGCCATGGGGGTCAGACACCCCTACCCTGACCTAGTATTTTGAGGGATTCAGGTTTCTGGTACCATAGAATCAACTGGAACATTTGTGAGAATACCAAACACACACAAGGATGGCAGGGAGAGAGAGCTTCTCTCCAGAAGAAAGGTGTACCCTTTGAAACTTAAGTGGTTCATATAAAAGCTTGAATTGAGCCAGAGATGAAGAAAGGAATGAGAAATTGAGACAAGAATGGGAAACAAAGAGCAGTATCGCCCATGTGCTGGTAGCAATGCACTGTAGGCCCCTGTAGGCATCCTGTTCAGCAATGTTTGTCTCCTCCCTGTTGTGCTGTAGGACCAGCAGAGCACAGGACACAGGGTGCGTATGAGTCACTGTATTGATGCATGAATGGAAGGGATGATGCAGTACTAAAGAGAATAGTGCCACACCACAAGGAGATCAAATGTGAATTCCACACCCAAAGAGTGGGGCCAGGCATTCAGAAATCAGTACAAGTGGGATCCTATTAAAGAAGGGTATTTAAAAACAAGAGAATCCAGCACATCTTTTGTAGATATTTTGTAGGTGAATGCAATGGCCTGGTTATGTTGGTATAGCTTCACCACCAGACAAGGCAGACTAAAGCTGACCTTCATGGGGTCTCTGAGGAACATGTCCTATTTTCACCTTTTGATATTATTACAGTTAGGTTATGTCCTGAAGCTAATATAAAAATTTGACAATTACTCCCATTTTCTGCCACAAGCAATTGTTAAGTTGCTGTTGCTTCTTAAGTTGTTTATTTTTGTGCGCCAGTATTGGGGCTTGATTTCTGCATTTGTCTGAACTCTCTTTGTGCAGCCTTGTCTCTCCACCTCCATTCTCTTGATTGATGGTGGCCGCTGGCATTCCATCCTAGTTACCCCAGAATGCTCAGTATCGTCACCTGCCCAGCATTCTTGCCATGAGTTCACTTTACCTTCAAGTTTTGGAAAACAAATCACATGCTGTCACAGCATTCTGTCTGATGAAGGTCCACCCTTTTAAAAACAGAATATAAGCCTGCACTTTTGAGTATAAGATGAAAACCTCCCATCTGCAGAATTACTCAGGGTCATCTCCAAATATGTCTTGAATGATGCATTAGAATCTGGCTCTTTAACTATTTATTTAGTGCCTTGAACTCCAGGCCTGAAGCACTCACTTGGCTTTGTCCACTCATGACTGGTACTCTGCCACTTGAGCCATGCTTCCACTTCTGTCTTTTATTCTGGCTACTTGGA